GGAAGAAGATAAAAGGATATCAGGGTTTTCGGCACAGGTGGCGAGGGAGGTAACCCAGCTAAATAACTGTTAGTACATTGTTTGCAAAATTAGATTAGCGTATTATTGACTTCCAACAAAACGTGTCTTAAATATTTGCCCGACTTGGTCATCGTCATCAATGACAATATTCAGAGGTTGTCGATGATACATGGTTTTCATAAAAATAATTCGTTGATAGACGCTGACCTATCTTTATAACGTTTTGAATATTTCAATATTTTGTTTTTAATGTTGAAAAATTTCTCGTTGGGATTTTTTGCGTGAAGCAAAAAACTTTCAAAGTCTGAAATAAGGATTCTCAAGCGCCATCATGAACCTTTATAATAAAAAACATGTAGCAGCGACCAACAATCAAGCAAACATTAGACTCAGTAGTGTTGAATAAAGTTATAATAAATATTAGAAAATATTTACCCGTTGTGACCTAAAATTTAACTTTGGTTAGCATACATCTCTGAATATAACTTCCAATACAAAAAGGAAGAAAATAAGTCTTTCACCGCTTTCACCGAATAGTATAACGACGACGACAGTGGACTTTGTTGTTAATTAACCGACAGACTTACCTTCAAGGGAACCTCTAAGGACAAGGACTTCGTTCTGGCTCATTTTGATCTTGAAATATGAAGTTAACTACTAAGGAACCGTCAAACAGAGAATTCAGGTGATGAAACACGAAGACTATTCGTGTGAAATGAGATTCCTCGAGACGAGTCGACTGGGTCAGTCCCATAATTACAGTGGGCCCAATGAGAGCGTGAACATCTGTGCATGCAGTCGACACAGTCCTCAACGGTACTTAAAGCCTTAAAAACACCGAGCCACATGCGCATTTTTGGGACTGCGATATTTCTTCTTTTGGGGTTTTTTAAGTTGGGGTTTAGGGCTTTTCAATGTTCAATTAGGTCGGTGTAGTTGAGGACGGTTAAATTATAGTGATGTCATGCAACCGGATTACAACAGAGTGAAGAGCTATAACTATTTACAGGAAGAACATTGATAGTAGTATCAAAGTCAAAATCACATTTTAACGGGTGTATATATCTGTATTAATATGTATATAGGGTATTTGTAGCTCTAGTAAAATATTGCCTCATTGTATTTTAGAAATTACATATTTATTATGTAGTAGTCGTGGTAGAACGCTGGCTTAATGGGCAACTGCTTGAAAAAGGTTACGATGGCCCAAACTTCAGTCTCTTATAGCCTGATTTAGATATTATTGTAGTTTTCATTCTCTTCCTCTTTTTCTTTGGTATTTGGGGCATTCTCTTCATCGCTGATTCCACCGCTGATTCCTTCTTCATCAAGGTTTCCGTTGGAACTATCAATAATAGTGTTATTTTCAAAGGTTTCCTTCACATTTGAGTTTCCATCTGTTCCATTATCCAATCCAGTGGGTTTCGGGCTACCAGATATAGTATTTGCAGTCATTGTTTTCTCATCAGAGGCATTTTCTTTTTCGGTGGCTGATTCTGTACTTGCTATTTCAGTTACTTGTTCGATAGTTTCCACATTAGCTACTGGTTCAACGGTGGACTCAGTTCTTTTTAAATCATGCGTAAATTCTTTATAGTCTGTACCAAAAGCTTTTTCCTCCTCTGAATTTTCATTCCCTACTTGTACTTTTTCTGTTTTATCTTGGCCGGGACTTTCCGCCTTTATATTTTGGGGGTTTAAATCTTCGTTGAAGTTCCCCGTCGTATCAATTTCCATTTCAGTAGTTTCTGTCTCGGTTCTCTTAGCATTGTTTTCAATTTGAGTATTTTCCATCTCGATATCATTATTTCCAGTATTTTCAGGCTGAACGTTTATTATCTTGGAGTCAATATCCTCCATTTTGATATCAGTGTCTTCGACACTCATAATTTTAACCTCTGTATTAGGAGCTTCTTTTTCTTTCATCTTTCCTTCTTCTAAAATAATTCTATTCTTAATATCAAGAAGTGTATCGATATGAGTGTAAATTTCGCTCTCTTTGGCCTTTCCGACCCATTCCGCTTTGGCATCAACACTGATAGGCAGAACTTTGTCCTTTGAGACTTCGTTCAAAAGCTTGATCTCCTTTCTCAATGACACAGATACTTCTTCTAGTAGTTCAAAATAACTCTGGCTGGATTTCTCAAAGGTGGCTTTCGATTCGGCAGTATTAATAGGCGAACTGGGCTTTTTGGTCGCCTCAGTCATCAACGATAGGGACTTTGATGCCGCCTCTAGTAATTCAATAATTCTCTTAAATAAGTCCGGAAAAATAAAAAAAAAAAGTCATCCCGGTTAGTTCTTGTAGCTCGTGTTCGATCAGTATATAATTACATTCATCACTTACCAGGTCAATTTCATGTAAAGAGTCCAATCTAACTTCAATTTCCTCTGAATTAATAGGCACTGAAGAAAGATCAATACTTTCCTCATCAACAAAATTACACTTGCTCATCCTTTTCGCTAAAAAAATCTATTATTGGTGTAATATACAATGGCCTCTTGACTATCCTAACTCTAAACTATGGTTTGTTATCTATTGAACTTGATGTGTATACTCCAGACATATTGGGAGGGTAGTTGGTACATTTCAATAGGGTAATTCCTTGTTGCCGTACTTTCGGTGGTTTTGAAATTATCCTGCCTCAGCGAGTGTACTCTGTGTGGCGTTAAGGTGTTTCATTGATTTTAGTAATTTTTAAATTAAACGAAAAGCTATTTTTAATAGTAAAAAATTTTTTGAGTTTTTTGGTTGGTTATTTTCCATTAATTAGACAAAATACAGTTATGAGTGCGCATGACACCCACTTAGATTAAAACGGTTAACTTGCAGAGTAGAGATGGGAACAAAAGGAGCACTATTAGTTAGTTTAGGTTTGATAATTTATTTTTAAAAAAGCACTCAATCATGTGAAGCCTATCTCGTATTCTAGTTATATATATTGATCAAAAAGAAAAAAGAATGCATTTTATTTCATTTGTTCAATGCTTTTCTCTGGGGTATTTTTAGTGAACGTAAAAATAGCAGTGTTTGTTATCGGGCTTCCAATTTCCCGTTTTAGTTGTTCTGCAGAACAGGTAAGATTATTGAGAAGCTAACAAAGAATAGAAGTTAGGGGCAGCATCAAACTTCATAAACATGAAATTAACAATGTTTGCTATCTGACGTCATTAAATATATATATATATATATTAGAAACTTGTATTTAAGGAGACCTTAAGGTTTCATTTTATAACTTATCAAAAGATCAAGTTTATTGTCTTCTATTTCAGCATATCTTACTTTGCTTTTTATAATGTCAGAACTTAAAACTGTTCAAACTGGTTTACACCCCTTACCTCAACCTGCACCTAAATTGGTAGATAATGTTGCTAATCTCTTTTCGTTAAAGGGAAAAGTGGCTTCAATTACGGGCTCTTCCACTGGTATTGGATACATCTTAGCTGAAGCCTTTTCCCAGGCAGGCGCTGATGTTTGCATATGGTATAACTCTCATCCTTCCGAAGACAAAGCAGAAGCTTTGGCCAAAAAATATGGTACGAAATGCAAAGCTTACAAATGCCCAATTAACGACCCTGATATGGTTGAGGCTACGTTTGCGCAGCAAGTAAAGGATTTTGGAAGAATTGATATCTGTATCGTCAACGCTGGTGTCCCTTGGACTGCTGGGCCTATGATTGATGCTCCGGGTCATAAGGATTGGCACAAGGTTATTGATTTAGATTTCAATGGGGCTTACTATTGCGCCAAGGCCATTGGCAAGATTTTCCGTGATCAGCATCGTAACAGTAAAGATAAAACCGCCAAAGGTTCGTTAATTTTCACAGCGTCGATGTCAGGTCATATTGTAAATGTTCCTCAGATGCAGGCTTGCTATAACGCTGCCAAAGCTGGTGTCATTCATTTTGCCAAAAGTTTAGCTATTGAATGGGTCGAATTTGCTCGTGTGAATTCTATCAGCCCTGGTTATATAGCAACAGAAATTAGTGACTTTATTGATAAAGAAACCAAAGGCAAATGGTGGTCTTTGATTCCTATGGGTCGTGAAGGCCAACCAAAAGAGCTTATTGGAGCTTACATGTACTTGTCAAGTGATGCTAGCACATACACTACAGGTACTGATATAATAGTTGATGGAGGCTACAATCTTTCTTGATTTGGACTCGTATTTTTTTTTTTTGTTTTTTAGTATTGTGTGCTTGTTTATGTGAAAAATCTTAAAAAAGAAATCTTTTTAAAGCCTATGGTTTTCATGTCTACTATTTTTCTAGTTTTTTCTTTTTCTTTTGAAATTTTTGAAAATTCCTAAATAGCTAATAGAAGGTTTTTGTGGCAACTCTTAATTAGTAAAGATATCCTCTTATCAGACGATATCTGTTTTGGGAATGTTTAAAAAAAATGCTCCCTGGGAGGTTCGAACTCTCGACCTTCAGATGGCTTGAAGATTTTAGTCTTATGAGACTGACGCTCTACCAACTGAGCTAAAGGAGCTTTATTAGGATATTGTCAAACGTATGGTACTTAGTTCCTAATAATTCTTTTACAAGATGTTACCCTAATCAAGTTTTCAGAGTCGAGTAAAATAAGGAAGCCTGATGTAATAAAAACTAAAAGGAAAACAAGGCTGGTTTAAGAGGAAACACGTAATGCACAAAAACATTTATATAACAAAGGAAAGGAAACAAGGAGATAATTTTCTCGAAGCTTTTAATTATTATTATTTTAATTGTTTTTTCCTTTGGTCCTCTTTTGATTATTGCGTTCCTTGAAAAGTGGGTTAACCTCAGTAAACTCCTAATGAAAACATTAGAATATATCAGAGTCCATTTTGAGGAAAACAAACCACAACATATTCGTATTGTGAAAATTTCCTAAATTTTAAAGGAGAATATTACAGCGTTAATATGGAATTTAATTGAAAAAGGGGTCTTTTATTAGGTCTTCTACTTGATATGAAATAAAAAAAGAATGTAAAAAATGATTCAGCCGAGGATTGAACTCGAGACCTCCTCAGATCACATTATGATACCATAAGTAACACAAATGTAAATGAGACGTGATAACCACTACACTACTAAACCGGTTATATGTTTCAGAAGGATAGAAATCTTATAGATAGCATTAAATAAATAACCTATAGTACAACTAATTAATTTTTATCACGAAAAAGCCGGTTAGATACTGCTGAATTATCAGCCTGTAGTCGAGTAATCAAGCAAAAGTTTACTATAATGGAGTTAGACATCGGATTTTACTGACCCCCCTAAGCGGCTAGTTTTTCCAATTTTAATATTTTCGGCCAGCGTAGTTTAAGATTTATTAGTTGTTTTTCTCTTTGTAGTTTTAATATTAGAGAAGGACTTAGTTGTATGGATTACGTAGCATTCTTCACAATACCTTGGGTTGACGTAAAAGAACCACAAGTTATGATTACGTAACATTATCTTTGACGATCCCCAAGCCCAGAATTGTCTAGACACTACTAAGTTATGTACCGACCGTTTGTTCTGCATTTATCTAGAAGCCGCTCATAAGCTCTAGCTTCTGCAGGGACCACAGTCTTGTAAAATATAAATACAAAGTCATCTTGGACCAAAGTTTTTGTATCGCTTTCGAATAACCAGATACAAAAAAAAACCAAGAATCATATGTTATTCAAACAAACAACAATATGAAAACTGATTATCAATTTACAAACCGTGCGCAAGAAATTATTGAAGACGCATCAAAACTTGCTACAACCCATAGCCATGCCACACTAACACCTCTGCATTTTTTGGCATCCATGGCTAATTCTGACGAAAACTCTGCATACTTAAAAGGTATTGTGCAGGATTCCCATTTCGATTATGAAGCGTTGGAAAGAATAATAAATCGCCATCTAGTACGATTACCATCACAGACGCCGGCACCCCCCAAGCCGGCACCATCCTCAGCAACGGGGGGGGGGTTATTTCCAATGCCCAGAAATATATGACACAACAAAAAGACTTTTACATTGCGCAAGATCACCTTTTACTTGCTTTATTAAATGATTCTTCTATTCAAACGATATTGAAAGAGTGTTCTATTAAAGAAGATATTCTCAAAAAACAAATACAGACCAACCGCGGCTCACAAAGAATTGATTCCAAGGTGGCAGACACTTCTTCCAAGTTGGAATTCTTAACCAAATACGCAATAGATCTCACTCAACAAGCCCGTGAAGGTAAAATTGATCCCGTAATCGGCCGTGAAGAAGAAATCCGTCGTTGTATTCGCGTTTTGGCCCGAAGAGGTAAATGTAACCCTTGCTTGATCGGGGATCCCGGTGTGGGTAAGACCTCGATTGTAGAAGGTGTTTCACAAAGAATCATCGACAATGATGTGCCCAACGTTTTGGCAAATTGTTCACTGTATTCTTTGAATTTGGGTGCCTTGAAAGCCGGTGCCAAGTACCAAGGTGATTTTGAGGAACGTATCAAGGGAGTCTTGAAAGAAATTGAAGAGTCTGAAAAGATGAATATTCTCTTTATTGACGAAATCCATATGTTGATGGGGGATGGCACTAGCGATGCTGCCAACTTGCTCAAGCCTATGTTAGCTCGAGGTTCGCTTCACTGTATCGGGGCTACAACCATCAATGAATACAGTAAGAATATCGAAAAGGATGGTGCATTTGAACGCCGATTCCAAAAAGTCGATGTCAAGGAACCCAGTGTGCGCGAGACTGTGGCCATTCTTCGAGGTTTACAAGGCAAATATGAAATCCATCATGGTGTAAGAATCCTTGATAATGCTTTAGTGGCAGCTGCCCAGCTGACTTCTAGATACCTGACCTATCGTAAATTACCCGATTCGGCCGTTGATTTGATTGACGAAACTGCGGCTAACGTTGCCGTGACTCGTGATTCTCGGCCTGAAAAGATCGACACGTTAGAGCGGGAACTCCAGCTCCTTCAAGTAGAGATCAAGGCACTTGAACGTGACGCTACAACCGATAGTTCTACAAAGGACAGGTTGCTTGCGGCTAAGAAGAAGGTAGCCGACCTTAATGAAGAACTGGCGCCAATTAGGACTAAATACGAGGAAGAAACCAAGTGTTTAGTTGAGCTCAATAACTTGAAAAAGAAGTTAGACGAGCTCGAAATTAAGGCGCAAGATGCCGAAAGAGGTAGAGACACTACTGCTGCAGCCGACCTGCGGTACTTTGCTATTCCCGATATCAAACAACAAATTGCCCGTATTCAGAACGATAAGGAGGCCATGAGCAAGGTTCTTATTCAAGATACTGTAAGTGCTGACCAAATTGCAGAAACAGCTGCTAGATTAAGTGGTATTCCAGTTTCTAAATTGACACAGTCAGAAAATATCAAACTGGTCAATATGGAAAAGGAACTATCAGAGCAGGTTGTTGGCCAAGCAGAGGCTGCCAAGGCAATTTCTGATTCCATTCGGTTAAGTAGATCTGGGTTAGCTAACCCTAATGCACCTGCGAGCTTTATGTTCTTGAGTCTCTCTGGTTCCGGTAAGACTGAATTAGCAAAGAAGCTGGCAGGATTTTTATTTTCCGACGAAAAGGCAATTGTGAGGATTGACTGCTCGGAGCTTAATGACAAGTGGTCGGCCAGTAAATTACTCGGTGCTGCTCCGGGTTATGTTGGCTATGAGGAGGGAGGTATTTTGACTAATGCTATATTACGCCGTCCTTATTCAGTGGTTTTATTCGATGAGGTTGAAAAGGCCTCGCCAGAAGTCTTAACTATTTTACTCCAAATTTTGGACGATGGTAGAGTTACCAGTAGTCAAGGTAAGCTGGTGAATTGTGCTAATTGTATCTTCATCATGACCTCCAGCCTGGGTGCTGAAGCAATCCACCAGAGTCCACGTTCAAAGGTTGATTCTGCCACCCGCCACAATGTGATGGAATCTGTAAAGGCCCATTTCCGCCCAGAATTTTTGAACAGAATCAGTTCGATGGTAGTTTTTAATAGACTATCAAAGAAGGCTATTCGGAAGATTATCCAGATCCGCATCCAAGAAATCATCAAGCGGTTTGAAGCTAATGATAAGCATTTAGAATTGAGACTGTCTGACGATACTCTCGACTATCTGTGTGAACACGGCTACTCCAAGGATTTGGGTGCTCGTCCTTTGAATCGTCTAATTCAAAATGAGATTTTAAATAAACTTGCTGTTTTGGTTTTGAAGAACCAGGTACGCGATAAGGAAACCGTACAGGTGATCAATGCCAGCCGAGGTTTGGAAGTTGTTCCTAATCACGAAAGCGCCATGGTCGAAGAAGACGGTGATATTAGAATGGACGAGTCCGACAGTGACCACAGCGATTTGGAAGAAGACATTTAAGCTATTTTAGATGTGTAGAATTTTAAAAATTAATATATTTGTATTATTTTCCAAAAGTTATATAAAGTTATCATCATTTCCCAAAAAGAAGTTCTCCGATACGGGGAATCGAACCCCGATTTGCCCGGTGAAAGCGGACCGTGCTAGCCATTACACTATATCGGATAATNATGACGACACCAGCAGGACTCGAACCTGCGCGGGCAGAGCCCAAAAGATTTCTAATCTTTCGCCTTAACCACTCGGCCATAGTGCCTTATTACTTGCAAGAAAAGGCTGAAAGGGGAGTGTGAAGGGCAAAGATCAAGGTAAAACGGCGGTGAAAACCAAACGACGGCGTGAAACGGCATTGGCGAGACGGCTAAAACGGAGAGTTAGTACAAGAAAACGACAGAATGGCCACCAGAACCGGCACGGTGGACAAATAAGCAAGGCAGTTATACTTAGAATAGAGGGTGATTTGCACTATACGATATTAAACTAATTGAATATATTTATTATTATTATGATTATTGGAACGCATTGTCGGTGGTGTGGTGGCTATGAGGCCAGAGTTATTCGGGCTTGCCAACGATATCTTTCCAATTTTGTCCCTTCAAGTCTTTAACTAGGTCCCTTTTGACTTTACCGGCAATGGCGCCGCCCTGATAAGCAAAGGCGGTGTATAATTGCACGGCGGAAGCGCCGGCGTGGGCGAATTCTAAGGCGTCGGCGCTACTGGAAATGCCGCCGCAGCCGATGATATCGATTTGTTTACCGGCGGCGTCGTTGTGGAGGTATTTTTTGATGAGGCGAACGGCGGCAAGCGAGAAGGGTTTTACGGGGGTACCGGAGAGGCCGCCGGCTTGTTGGACGAGGGCGGGATCACTCTTGAGGGTGTCGGGTCTGGCGATGGTGGTGTTGGAGACAATGACGCCGTCGATACCGGCATGCTTGATGCTGTGGGCGATGGATTCTACTTCGGATTCGGAGAGGTCGGGGGCGATTTTGACAACGATGGGGGGCAGATGTGGGTTGGGGGATTGTAGGAGGGGGTCGTCTTTGATTTGGTCGGGCAGTTTGTTACGGGACTGGACTACAGCGGAGAGTAGGGTAGTGAGTTTGTCGCCGGCCTGGAGATCTCTTAGGCCGGGGGTATTGGGGGAGGAGACGTTGATGACGAGGACGTCGGCGTAGGGCCCGAGGGCCATTACACCGGCGACATAGTCCTGGACTTCATCGCCGGTTTTGTTTTTGCCTAGGTTAAGGGCGAGACAGCGGCCGGGGCGGAGGGATCTGAGGCCGCCCGAGGCTTTGAAGGCGTCTTGGTTTTTGGAGAGACGGGATCTGAGACGGTCGGCGACGGCGGCGTGACCTACCGAGTTGAAGCCGTAGCGGTTGATGACGGCGTTGTCGTCGATGAGGCGGAAGAAACGGGGTTTGGGGTTACCGGGCTGTTCGAGCGGGGTGACGGAGCCGATTTCGACGTAGCCAAAGCCCAGGTCAAAGAGGGGGTCGATGGCGTCGCCGTGTTTGTCGAGGCCGGCGGCGACGCCGAGGATGTTGCGGAGACGGATTTTTCCGCCAAAGAGCGAGTGTTCGAGCTGGTGGGCGGGATCGATTTCGTCTTCGGTGCGTTTTTCCCAGGGGGAGAGGCCGTACTTGAAGCACTGGATGGCAAAGGAGTGGGAGAACTCGGCGGGCATGGTGAGACGGACGATGGGGAGGAGGACGGAGCCGTGGAGGGAGGACTGGGCGTCGGTGTAGTAGGTGTAGGCGGCGGCCAGGGAGAGGGAGGCGGCGGCGGCTAGGGCGAGTTTACGGGCGGTAGACGGGGAGGTCTTGGAGACGGGCGTGGTGGAGGCGGCGCGCGACCATTGTCGAAGGGGGGCTAGGGGCAGGCGGCGGGCGGAGCGAGCAAACATATTTGGCGATGGAGAGAAGAGAGGTAGCGTTTGGAGGGTATAAATATGATCTGGGAGGGTTAGGGGGGAGTGGGCTGTTGTCGCATCACCTGGTGGGTGTCGTATGATAAGAATTAAGAGGGATAAAAAAAAAGAATAAAAAAAGAGAATAAAAAAAAAGATTTTAAAAAAGAATAAAAAAAAAAAGAATAAAAAAAAAAAGAATAAAAAAAAAAAGAATAAGAAAAAATAAAAAAAAAAAGAATAAAAAAAAAAGAATAAAAAAAAAAGAATAAAAAAAAAAGATTAAAAAAGAATAAAAAAAAAAAGAATAAAAAAAAAAGAATAAAAAAAAAGATTTAATAAAAAAAATAAAAAAGGAATATAAAAGGGTGTATATGTATTGTATAATATAATATACAAATAATATAATATACAAATAATATAATATACAAATAATATATAACGAATGTAGAAAAAATACAAAACGTATAGAATGTGTAAAATGTAGCGTCCTGAACTCCCGGTTTTTCCCGAATAGTCCGACTATTCTCGCTGACCCAATACTATCTATAAATATACTGACCATGCAGAGGGGTTGTTGCTGTTGTGAAATCAAATTAGCCGGATTCTATCGGCCGTTGCATAATTTGGGTAGAATCCCATTTTCCCGGTACGGTACAATAGAGCCCCGTCCGGCGTTTAATCCATTCTCTATCCCCACATCCTTGTTTGTTGTGTTGCCGCATTTACATATACCATCATCCGGTTACTTTCCCCCCATTAATTCAATCATGAATCTTGTTACTTTTGACTATTTTGACTGTTTTGTTTGACACTCTTCTTTCTTAGTCTCTGTCTGTTTTCTCTCTGTCTGTTTTCTCTCTCTTGTCGTTTGTCTCTTTTTTTTCTTTTTTTTTCTCTTCTTTTTCCTTGCTTTCTGTCTTTTCTGTCTTTTCTGTCTTTTCTGTCTTTTCTGTCTTCTCTCTCCTCCTCCTCCTCCTCCTCCTCTCTCCTTCTCTCATCACTATGCCCCTATCCTCTCATCACACTCCCAGCATCAGGTCCGTCTCCTCCGTCTCCTCCTCCTCCTCCTCCTCCATCTACTCGGCCCACAACCTAGACCATGCCTTTCCCGCCTTTATAGCCCACAAAAAAAACGTCTACGAACTCGCCGGCTTCGACGTCAACCACGGTCCCCGCCACAGACCTTCCAACTCCCTCCACCCCAACTCCCTCCACCCCAACTCCCCCCTACCCCAGTCCAGATCCGACCCCTCCATACCCTCCATGGACCACATTGCAACCCACTACACCGGCGCTCACCCCCCTCCCCCCCACCTCACCCTCTCGCTGCCCGCCCGCAACTCCGCCAGAACCCTCCTCGCCCCTCCCTACACGTACACGTCCCAAATCCCCCACCTCTCCGTCTCCCCCGCCACCTGCCCCCTCAACCCCCTCCCCAGACCCCTCTCCGATGCCTCGTCCGTCTACTCGGTCTTCTCCGACAGACCCCACTCCCTCAACGACTCCATCGCCTCCCCAAACAACACCACCGTCTCCATCCATGACCCCACCACCGACACATCTACCCGCAACTCCCTAAACCAACTCGCCCTCCCCCACCACCACCCCTCTCGCGGCCGAAGCGTGCTCAGCGCTACCAACCAACCCCAGCTAAAAGATATGCAACACCCCAGCCTCGTCACCAACCTCTCTCAACCCCTACAGAGATCTGTCACCCCCTTGGCCGCCCCTGAACCCTCCAAAATTGCCCCCACTGTGCCCCCAGCTCCCCCGGCCCCGCCATCATCCTCGTCCCGGGTTTGCCGCGCCTGCCACAACCCCATCTCTGGCAAATCCGTTTCCGCCCGCCCCGCCCTCTCAGGCCGTTTCCACCCCACCTGCTTCAAATGCCGCTACTGCCATTTGTCCTTTAGAGGCGTCGGTACCGAAATCTACGTGTTTGACGACACCGCCTACTGCCGCGAATGCTACCACATTGTCAACCACAGTCGCTGTGCCGGATGCACCACCGGCATCGAGGGCCCCTGTCTAGAAACCACTACCGATGCCTCAAACCCCCCAAACTCGGCATCCGCGCCTGCCCTGCGGTACCACCCTAATTGTCTACAGTGCGGAACGTGCCACAACTCAATCACCGATATGGAATATTACGTGCTCGACGGTAAAACTTACTGCGACGCCCACGGCCCCGAAATGCTCGCCGCCCTAAAGGCCCTTGAAAATATGGCCATCCACGACAAGAAAGCAACAAATAAACGGCTAACCGTTGTCGAAAAACGAAAGACAAAACTGCTGTATATGTAAATGGTGTGCTCTCCGCCGCCATCGTCCTGACCCATGCTGGCGGTTCTGGGAGCCAGCATGGCCGTCAAACCATACTCGCCTCTCATCACCAATCTATACCCCTTATCCTGGACCTTGTCCCAGTCGTCTATCCAAATGACGTGCCCCTGTATTATATTTCTCACTTTCCAAACTGTTCTAACCGAACTTTTTCAAAAAGTGACACCGTCCTGTTTATAATCCAACTAATGGATACATCTCGGTATTTACCCTCACCTGACCCAAGGTGTTATCTGGCCCTAATAATTGCCAAAATTTAATAGATAATCTAATTTGTATACTAATTCACCTAATATAAAATGCCCCTTTCTACACAATTTCAATGGCCCGTAAATACCAGCTTGCCTTGTGGTTGGGGCTAAATCACAAGACTGAACTTTCTATATACTCTACATAATGGAAAAGGTAAAACTAATATGGCGTTAATATTCTCCTATACAATATTTACAGTTTACGTCCATTTCTTTTCACTCGAAGTGAAATCGTCCACTAAAGCATCCTCACCGGACCGCTCGCGTTCAAGCTCGCGATCAAAGGCTTCTTGCGCCCGCTTATCAACGACAAGACCGTTTTCAGTCAAAGACAGTTTGGCCACAGGCTGACTATCTGAAGCCGCAGCAGGCATAGCTTCCGAATCAGAAGTCGGGGGACTTAACCGATCACGGTTGTTTTCGTTACGGATTCTATCCCATGAAGAGGATTTCTTTTCCGAGCTTTGCTCACCACGAATACGATCCCATACACTCATTGAAGACTTTGCCATTTCGCTATTGGCGCCTTTATCTTCGCTGCCACCGTAACCCAACGCACTCTCAATGGAAGACTCGTCAATCACAGGTGTAGATTTATTCTGAGCCAGGGCGGCGTTTTCCCGATCAATCTTATCGTATAGTGAATCTTTCTGACTTGATGCATCTAGTTCCTTCTGCTTATTCTGAATGGCCAGTTCCTGCTCAGGGGAAAGGGCCGATATACCACCTGAAGCCTTCTCCACAGCTTGGCGCATCGACGCCAACATCTTGTATCTCTGATCCGGGTTCTGTGACGTGTACACATAGTAAAATCGCCATAGACCTAATGTTTGACTTCCGTGAGACTCCAAAAAATCAAACAATCGTCGCTCAGGCGTGCCCTCCGGCTGAGCCCGTACCACACGGCCAAACATCACGGGTTCCGCGAATTTCATACTGGTGACAAACCCAAGAAAACCGGTACATAACGGTAAAAATGCAGTGTAGCGACGACCTCGCATCTTTTGATAAGTCCAATGAGCTGCAACCGAGCCTAGAAATGATACCGAGGAAACCATTATCAGCTTGGAAGCACCGCTATCAAGGCCTTTGGCTACCAGGTCCCGCTGTGATGGAGTAAGCTCATTATCAAGGTCAACGAATTCGGAAAATTGTTGTGAATTCAAGGGAATCATTCCCGCGGCAACATTGGAAGTGTTGCTCATTTTCTGTTAATTTAAGTGTATTTGACTTTTTTTGACTGTAGTAATACTGATACGAGTTAAATAGTATTAAGCCAGAGTAACTTGCTCTAACGCTCAAATGAATATATGCGAGACTGTCATGGTTTGCTTAGTAATATCAGGAAATGTGCGCAATATCCGGCTGGCCGCCTTCACTAAACCATTCAAGCACCGAATACAAAGCAGTAAGAAAGGATCTAGTTTCAATGCTAATTTTGGAAGCTGCTACCCTTAGTTCCCAAAAATACTCAATTAGTTGTTAAGTCTCCTTTCTGTTAGAATAACTCTGAAAACACTTTTGATCTGATTGAAGTGAATAAAATCCACTATCCTTTCTTTATTTACAATTAAATGGTTGTGTAGTGTAGTGGTTATCACATCGGTTTCTGATTCCGATAACCCCAGTTCGAATCCGGGCACGACCTTTTTTTTGTGTATGACTTTTCTAGCTCACCCTCCCTGTTCGTTGGTTACCATTTCACATTCATGTCTAGTATTGAAAGGTTTTATTTTGGCCTATTTAATACTAGATTAACTGGCAATAGAAGGCGCTACTTTTTTGAAGAGATTATCTGAATATTCTCTCTTATCAGAATTCTTAAAATTTTTGAAAAATATAAGAACCATTCTTAAAAGTCTTAGAGCCCTATTGCCTGTGTAAAAAATTTAATAAAAAGAATAAAGAAAAAAAACAAATACTCCTCGATAATTACCTAAAATACATAAATCTTAACATGATATTTCTCAAGAACCAAATCTATTCTCACTAAAAATATATCCTTAGTAAAACAGTCCTCGAAACTAAAATTACCAAAGTGTATTTACATCATATTAAAACAAATATAGAACGGTTGTTTGGCCGAGTGGTCTAAGGCGCCCGACTCAAGAGATTTATCTTATCTGCTAAGCAGGTGTATTCGGGTCTCGTAAGAGGCGAGGGTTCAAATCCCTCAGCAATCAAAATGTTTTTTTTTTACTTTTCCGCTGCGTATTTTTTGCGGATCGGCACGTTTTGCTTATATAAAATGTTGATCCAAACACCACTAAAAAATATTGAATTATTTTTTTCCAATATATTTTTACAGCCATCTTCTATTGATATTGAATAAGAGCTTTTTATTGTCTATGTACTAAAACTTTCGAAATATTTTAATACATATGCTTCTATTGACTTGTTTAGTTACCCCCAAGTGCGCTTGCTAGGCTGTTTACATTCTGTTATTTCGCACGCCATATACATATATGTTCACGCAATGCTTGGTACAACTATTTTTTTACCATGAGATATGAAAACCTTCTAGATGTTCATTTATTTCTGGCCCATTAATTATTTTTGGCGTATTATTATTAATTGATCGGCCCAATCAAGCGGTTAACTCGAGGTAATAACAGAGATCAGTTCATCTTGAGCGGATTAAAGATAACGCCGTTTGCCGTCCATGGGGCTTATAAACTGCGTATAGGAAATAACTTGCTTATATTTGATTGCCGACCGGCCCGTTTAGGACTCCGCCGTAAGGCAAAAAGGGATTATTTAAACCTACTTATATACTGAATTAAAGTTGTGTTATTTCTTTTTGCACCTTACTTAATTTGTCTTTTCTTTTGTTCACCTTACAAATCCTACTCAATCCTATTCTATCATGGCCTTAATCGCTGTTCCCACTGACTACCGTTACGTATTAGCCGGCGTTGCTACCATTCCTTTAGTTGGCCTTTTCCACAGTATCACTGTTGGCTCTGCTCGTAAGAAGAGCAAGGTTGAGCTTCCCAAGCTTTTTGCTTCTGAAGCCGAAGCCGCTGCTGATCCTTTAAAGCATCGCTTCAACTGCGCCCAAAAGTCTCACATGAACTTCACTGAAAACGTCCCATCCGTCATCGTGGCTACTCTTATTTCCGGTCTCCAATACCCCAGATTAGCTGCTGGTTTAGTCACTGTTTGGTCTTTGTTTAGAGTTGTTTATCATCTCAGCTACTCCACTGGTAACCCCAGTAAAAGAACCAGAGGTGGCCTTGCTACTATCGCCCAGCTTGTATTGTCTCTTGTTGCTTTTGTCTCCGCCGTTAACAGTGCCATTTCTTACTAGAATATGACTTTCCCTCGTTTAATATATATCAGATAAGCTGAGGAAAAACAGTTGAAATGTTTAAAAAATAATGGCAAACAAAATAGGAAAATAAAATATATTTATTGCATATTTATTTATATAGTCTAAAATATCATACTAATGTTGAGCAACAACACCATTGGCTGAAGCCTGTTCCAAAATGTATTTCTTGTAAGCTTGAATATTACCAGGGAACTTGCGCACAGAACCTTCTTCACTAACCCAGATTTGGTTACAAACTTGATCAATAACGGCCACATCGTGCGAAACCATAAGAATACCACCCTTGAAGTTCTTCAAGGCAGCCGACAGGGCATCCAAACCAGCAGTATCCAAATGATTAGAAGGTTCATCAAGAATAAGGACATGAGGGTTTGATAAACAAAGACAAGCGAAAGCTACACGTGACTTTTGACCACCAGATAACAATTGCATCTTTTGTAAACTAAGTGAACCAGTAATACCGAAAGAACCTAAATGACGACGGTATTCTTCTTCACCCTTACCAGGTTGTAAATGAGCCATCCAAGCAACAGCGGACATATTCAAATCCATACCATCAACATGGTGTTGGGCAAAGTAGCCGATACGTAAACGGGGGTTACGCGAAATCACACCATCAAGAGGTTGAATTTGTTCAGTAAGTAATTTCAATAATGTAGTCTTACCACAACCGTTAGCACCCACTAAAGCAATACGAGAGTCCATTTGAACATCCAAATCAACATTAGAAAGTAATAATTTGCCAGGAGTGTAACCAAAAGTAACACCCTGTAATTGAATAATGGGCGGTGATAACTTTTCAGGAACAGGGAATGTGAATGATATGGCTTTGTCTTCTTCGGGAGCTTCTAGAAGCGGTAACTTTTCCAGCTTCTTAATTCTGGATTGAGCTTCAGATGATTTAGCAGCATTGTATCTGAATTTATCGATAAAAGTTTGTAAATGCTTACGGTAAGCCATTTGACTCTCGTATTCACGAACTGCATTCTTATAACGTTCTTCCTTAGTGGCGTAGAAAGAGTCGAAGTTAGCACCACGGTAATAATCCAAACGTTCGTTATGTTGGTAAATAATATCAGTTGCAACTTCGTTAAGGAATGAACGATCATGAGATACAACCAACACAGTCGAGGGATAACTTTGAAGATAGTGGGAGAGATAGGTAATGGAAGGAACATCCAACATATTGGAAGGTTCATCCAGTAATAAGAGATCAGGTTTACAGAACAGGGCACGAGCAAGTGCCAAACGCATTCTCCAACCACCGGAGAACGAATTTGTGGGTTGTTGTTGAGCATCCTTGGAGAAACCAAGACCGAAAAGAATAGACGCCGCACGCGATTCAGCCTTATCAGATTCGATTTCGACTAGCTTGGTGTAAATTTCTTCCAAGCTGGTTTCGATTTCTACTCTTTCGTCATCCAGAGTCCTAATAACAGGAGAGGCATCATCAAGTTCAGGATCATCTGCAAGAAGGCTGGCTCTATTAGTTTCAATTTCTTGAATTTTGTTTTGGAATTGAGCTTGTTCCTTGAGTAAATGCTTACGCCAGACATCGGCATCCAAAACAGATTGAAGAGCTAGTGTACCATCACCAGTGATTTCTTGTTCGACATGTAAAATAGTAATGTGTTGAGGAACGGGCAATTCACGACGAGATAGAGCACGGAGTAAAGTAGATTTACCGATACCATTTTGACCGATAAGACCGTATCTTCTACCATGAGCTAAAGTAAGCATAGTATCGGAAAGAATTCTGCGACCAGCACCAACGTATAAATCAAAGTTTTCAATTTTAATATCCTTACTCTTACCCGAAGCGGAGAAACCAGCATTAAGAGGGTTAATGGTCAAGAAGAAGTCATCATAATCTTCAGCAGACTGTTCGTCAATAAGCTTGGAGGCTTCATATTCCACAGAGAGAGCCGAGGCTTGAGCATCACGCTTAGCTTTCTTGGAAGCAATTTTCTTTTCGGCTTTTTCTAGCTTCTTCTTATCGACCTTGGAGTCTATCTTTCTACCAGCAACAGCATTAAGATCAGTAGAGCCAAATAAATTGGAAGTGAGCAAACCTCTTTGAGATGAGGCAGCTGCCGACATTAACGCGCTTTGATCAATTCTTCTACGGGCACTATCGGCCTTTTCGCCACCAGCTTGTGCTAACGCAGCAATAGAATCGGATCGAACCTTACCTAGCTCGGTGATAATATCGGAGTAAACAGTAGTGACAGCTGTTCTGTCAGCACCAGCGTCAACCAAGAGTGAAGCGATAAACTCTGATTCGGCGGGAATATCGATATTAGCTGAATTCACAGCATCTTCCAAAACCATGGAGAGATGGGTGACGTAACCAGCAGCATAATCGCAGACGACTGGATCAATGGTAGACGCACATTGCCTTACTTTACGGGTTAAAGGTGCACTCATACTGATTGTAAATTAAACAAACGAGCTTTTAGATAAGCCGACAAGCAGTGAATTCTTGAAAATCAAATCTTGCAGAAATAATTCAGACTCCTCTACATATCATCATTATCGCGCGCCAGAGAAAAAAATAGTTTGGGTAATGGTTGGGAGCGATCAGAGCTAAAGGGAGGGTAATGGAGGTGGTCGGATGGATTAGACATTAGATACTATGAGAACAGAATGGTTCTCTGATATTGATAGCACTAGCACTAATGGACTTGAGCAAAGCGTATATATAGTAAACAAATATAACTAAAAACGTAAATTAATATTTGCATTTCAGATTTATAAGAGAAAAAAAAGGAGCTTAGGAGGAGTTATTTTACAGCGCCAGTTCTTGACGATAGGTAGATCCGTACCATTCCTTCGAGGTGACATAAGCCTCAAGATTGTAAACACAACGTCCACTTGTTGTGCTTGCGACTGGTCACTTTTGTCAACGATGGAATGAGGAAATAAGAAATAAAAAAGACCAAAACAAATAAAAAGAGGCAATAAAAAACCAAAAAAACAAATTATAAAAATCAACGTGTATTATAACTAAAATGCTGCTTTTGGGGAGGGGTTAACTCTATTCTTAGCTGGTCCGTGTTTGGCTTTGTACACTCCTCTTGTGGAAACTAACCTAGTTTCTTTGCCATTTTTAGCCATAAAATTACGGTAGGCTATACTGCTATAAAAACTCAATGTTGTGAACTTCTCTTTCCTTTACTCTCTTTCCTTTTATTTTCTATTCTTCCCTTTTTAAAAAAAACCATTTTCGCTCCCTTTGTGATTGGCTTTTATTAATTTTGCTGTTGAACATTCTTTCTCCTAATTAACCGATTAAAACCTCTTCTTTTATCAAGTCTGTGCACCTAGAAATTTTGATCTTGCAAAGCCTCACTCATACAACTGAGTTTTTGTTGTACTTTCTCCTAAAGCCACTCTTATAGATTAGCTTTATCGCTGCCGTCACACTTTACACGCGTTTGTTACAACTATTCCTTGTTGTTTTTGATTATTGATCAATAGCCTTACTTTAAGTAAAAGACATGTCATCTCCTTCGGGTTCAAGTTTAAGTGACCAGATCGAACCTTCTTTTCTTTTTCACACTATATCGAAAAAATCTTCTACCAATTCTACTATTTCCAGCTGCTCTACACACAGCGCAAAGTCTTTTGAACCACCATACTTTACCCTTAACTCTAAATCGAATTCTTTTGTTCCTGCTAAAAAGGCTTCTCAATACCCTGTAAAGACTCCCCCAGCTACTAATGTTTATGATACTTTAGCTAACTCTGCCTATCCTTATCCCACTCTTGATAACATCAGCACTAACGTCATGACCGATTCTAACCCCAGCAACCTAAATAACCCTAGCGTCAAGCCTACCTGGGCAT